CCCCAAAACCCCAAAACCCCAAAACCCCAAAACCCCACGATAGGAATTCAATATTGAATTTATACAAATCTAGTTTTGCTCAGTCTGTGCAGGAGCCTTCTTCTTAGGTGGCTCTTGTCCAAAAGTCTTAAAGATAGCTGGCTTCACTTCAGCATTTAGTTGCTTTAGCTTATCTCCCCATTCGGTCTCACTGAGTAAAATGATAGCTTCGTCATAAGTATCTTCATCGGGGAATAATTCAGTAGGTTCCTCAAAGGTAAGGAGGTAGTTATACAGATTTTCTGCAACAAGCTTTCTAACCTTTGGGAAAGGATTGAAAAGCATCAAAAGGAGGCTTCTAAGAGATTTTTCCTTGATTTCATCGAATTGGACAAGTTCTCCCAAGATTCCAGCTCAGGTTATTAGTTTAGGAATATTCTTACTCTTGAAATTTTCTTTTTGAATAAGACTATGCATTCTAGCAAACTGCTCACTATATTCATGTCCTTCGAAGTATGTTGTTCTAATAAGACTTTCCAATGTTTTCATCAAGGGTACAGTAATTCTCTCTTCCTTGAGATTTTCCTCAAAGATGTCATTAAAGTAATTAAGGAATCTATTCTTTTTCTCAACTTCAGTGTCAGTACCTTTCATTTCAGAAATAAATTTGATCAGGACCTCAAGAGAGTTCTTCACTGTACTCTCGGTGAGTCCTCCAGAGCTGCTCACGATTCCAGTGCATAAGTATTTGGCAAAACTGGGTGAATCAAAGAGAGAAATAACTTGCTGGAACACAAAGCTAGGATTTCTCCATGGCTTATAGGTAAATTTAGCATTCAAGTATCCTCTCTGATCTAAAAATGTGGAGTCTAATGTATTCTCTTCATTTCCTTCTTCACTGAAGATGAATAAGGCGAGGAGAGTATCTTTCTCATCAAAATTTGGAAGATCATTTTTGAAGGTTACAAGGAAAGATTGTAGAACTTGTCCAGCTACTTGTCTAACTTTATCAATTTTCTCCATTAATTGTTGCAGAATAGTTCCAATGTAGTGAATAAAGAAGTCTTGATGAGCATCAGATGGGATTATTTGTTCGAGAACCTCTTTTTCACAGTTGTAGAAAAGCTCATAAATTAGAATATTTAGAGATCTCATGGCTTCTTCTCTCACCCAAGAACCGACATCACCTCTCTTATCAATAGCATAATCTTGAACAGCCTTAAGAATTTGATCGAGGGCTGATTTTACGAGAGTTGGGTCAACATTGTTTAATCCAACAGTCTTTAGTACATCGATAGTACTTCTGACTGCGAATTGTCTACTTTCAGGATCATCATTTGACTTTCCCTTTGGTACCATGTTTCCTATCAAAGTTTTGAGGAGCTTCTGCTGCATTTTTGAGATAATTGATTTGCTAAGACTTCCCAGAATCATATTATATCCTCTAGTTGAATCAACCACGGGATCAACCACAGATCTTTTGACGATCTCTGAAATACTATTGATCACAAACTTTTTCTCTTCTTCAAGTTCAGCATCATTATTGAAATAAGTGTTGCTGAGTTGCTTATAAGCAGCACAGGTTGACTTTTGAACCTCAACATTTGAATGTCTTGAGTTCTCATCGATCATCTTTTGGAATTTCTGCAAGTCTGCATTGGAGAATTGGATTCTAGCAAATGAGCAACATTGGAGGTAATGGTTTACAGACAACCTCATTATTTCTCCTCCTTTACCTTTGAATAGCTTCTGCTCATCCATCTGGAAGATTACTTGCTTGATCTCATCCATGAGATCTTTAGGAATGAGTTCAGCATTATTCTTCTTTTGAAGTTCTTCAAACTTCTCATTGAATTTTTCTTTATTGTCTCCTTGCTTGATCAGCTCGATTTCCTTCTGGTGAATCTGCTGCATTGCTTCTTCAAGCTTCTCATTTCTACTAATGTGGCTCAATCCTGAGAGGCCGAGCATCAGTTCAGATAAGGCCCACAAAGCTCCATGTCTAATGTGAAGAACCTTGCTGAAGCAGTTTTTGAGGATGGTTGGAAGGTAATTGTCAATTACATGCTGAGGATTAAAGATAGATAAAACAGAAAGAGACTTAGCAGCTAATTGCCTCATCTCAGTTTCCCAGTGTTTGAGCTTTTCATTCACTAAGTTATTAATTAATGGATCATAGTATTCTTCAAATTGCGCAATGTATGTCGAAACGTTTAAAAATGAATTTGCTTTATTAGCTAGTGTAAAATAATCTGCTTCAGCAAGGATTTCAATTCCATGAGGGAAGATTCTTTGTCTTCCTACAGATTCCTGGAATGCAGCACTACCAGCTCTTCTACAGTTAACCTCTCTATCAAACAAGAACAAAATACACAAATGTGTTGAAAGTGATTCAACATGTGGTTTCATGATTTCTTTCTTGAAACTTCTTGCGAAACTCCATACAACATATCAAGCTGCATCTCTAACATGGGCTCCTACAGAATGATCTCCTTTATTGATATCAAAGAGAAGTGCTTCCTTTAGCTTTGGCATTACCTGGTCTAGTCTTTCTGGAAGAAGGAGACCTTCTCTGCAAAGCTCAGCCAAAGCAAGACAGCCTCCTTGCCATGATGAATCTGTGTCTGAATCATCAAAGCATTTTAAGATATCTTCAACTATCTGGTCTGCTAATTCGAGGGTCAATCTACTGGTGATTTTTCCTAGCCCTTTTGCTGCTGACCATCTAATAGAGGTATCTTTATCCTTAAGGTGGCTGAGAAGAATGGAGATAATGGTTTCTAAGCATTCAAAATCACAGTCTGAATCCATATCATCATCTTCATTCTCTTCGTAATTGAATCCAGTATCAGGAGCTTCTTCATTTTTAGATTCACTATCAAGATTCTTAAGAAGAGATTTCGAGTCCATTTGGTACCTCCATGATGCAACTCTTGGTTTAAGGAAAATCAAGCCTAATTTATGTGCAAATTTTACTCTTTGTTTCTTGAGCATCGAACTGGATTGAATGAAATTTTGCTCAGATTCTGTCTTGATGAAAGTGTCAAAGACAGTCTCTACTCTACTGAATAGATCACTTCTCTGTCCAGTTTTGAAAATATCACACAATACTTGAAGACATCCAACGAGTTGCATAATCTTTGTTGGATTGTTAATATTTTCAATGTACTGAGTCTTCATCTTCTCAATGAATGAATCAAGATAACCAAGCTTAATCACATCAGGACGAGTAAGAAGCTTTGCAACAACTTGGCTAGAAATTTCTTTGTTCTTCCCTGCTTGGTTGAGGAACCCTTCGCTGAAGTTAATGATTTTGTCGAGTAAAGTCTCATCTCCTTCTTTCTTTGAGTCGATGGTTTCCAGATCGAATGGAACGATTACGACCATAGAAAGCCACATGAAAAGGATGTAATGGACATACCATTCCCAATTTTGGAGGTTAATATTGGCGATAAACTCCACAAGATTCTCAAGGTCTTCAACTGAGTGTGGGAAATATTTAAGCACTGTTTTAGTCCCTCTAACTTCTCATGTTTTGTATAGAATATTTAGAAGCATCTTGAAAGTTTGGCTAATGTTGTAAGGCTTCTCTAAAGCACCAAAATCTTCTCTAAGAAATGAAACCATATAGTTAATGATTGGAGATATAAACTGGGATAGCATGGAATCTAACAACTCTGGCTGCTCTTGATATTTGGATAGAATCCAGATAACTCTTGCAGAAACATTCTCTCAATCTTGCTCTGTATTTAGAGTGACTATCTTAGCTTCATTGGTTGTATCATTTCCATTTTTGATCCAGTGCAAGAGGTCTTGCAAATATCCAAGCAAGAGATCCTTCTCAATAACAAAACTATCATAAACCTTGGTGTTAAAGTCATCTTTACTCTTAGTAAAAGCCAGTGGTTGGTTGACCTGCTCATTATAAGCATCGACAAAGGCCTTTTCATTGCCTAAGAACTTATTTTCCAAATGTGCATCCATTTTTGATTTTAAATTTTATCAATACTCATTACGTAATGCGGGGTTTTGGGGTTTTGGGGTTTTGGGGTTTTGGGG